AAAAAAGACTTTGAGGTTGCTGTGAGCTGTGATGTCACAACACTCTACTGAGGGTGGCAAAGTGATACTGTCTCAAAAAAATAAAATGAGGGCAGTGCCTGTGGCTTAGGGAGTAGGGCACCGGTCCCATATACCAAGGGTGGCAGGTTCAAACTCGGCCCCAGCCAAAACTGCAACAACAACAAAAAAATTAAAGAAATGAATAAACAAAATATTAAAAAAAAATGAAATAAAATAAAAAAATAAAAATCCATTCTGTAGCCAGGTATGGTGGTATGTGCCTCTAGTTTCAGGTACTCAGCCCCAGGAGGATCACTTGAGACCAGGCCTGGGAGGCTACATTGTGATTGTGCTGTAATGATTATAATGATGCCTTGTAACCTGCTACAGTAGCCTGGGCAACAAAGGAAACCCCTACTTCTTAAAAAAAAAAAAAATGCATTCTGGAACTTACAACCAACCACAACAACCATGTCCCAGACCTCTAAGTAGCTGGACGAAAACCACTACTGTCTTCCCACACTCCACTCACTCTACCCCCAAACACATCCCACACAAGCAACCATCGAACGAACACAAAGTATCTGACTCCTCTGGGTGTAGAACCAGCACAAGGCACACCATGTCACAGTTCCTCCCTAACAGTAGGAAATTGTGACACCGAAACTGAAGAAACAAAGAACACTGCATGACCTTTGGAAAAGATCAAGGTTTAAATCACCTAAGATACCAGATGGCAAAAGAGCCTGCCAAAGATGTTGAAAACCTGAAGAAAGGACTTCAACGAAGATTTAATGCTATCAATCTTGGCATAAGTGAATTCTGGAAATATGATGCAGAATTACTGCTTTTGAAGGAACAATTGAAGAAGCTACAGCTTGATGTTTCATTTATTCATGCTCCATCTTAGGAGTAGCACCAGTGGGCCATTTCTACCCAAACTTACCTCACATGGCAACTGCACCCTTTGCCATGCAGGCAACTGCATTGAGAACTGAAACTTTAACTGAGGCTGATATCTGGGACTGCTGGTAGTAGTGCAAACAGTGTTCAGCTTGCACACCTGCTCATAACCACCACTTACGTTCACACTTCCCAAATCCATTCCTCTCCTTTCCTTTAGATAAGTACACAGGCTCATAAAATCTTATAAATTAGCTTTAGGCACAAATAACCTTATAGATTAAAAAAAAATCCATTCTGTTATATAATATGATAGTTTAATTTATAAGAATTTACTGTTACGGCTCGGCGCCTATAGCTCAACCCGCTAAGGCACCAGCCACGTACGCCTAAGGTGGTGGGTTCGAATCCCCAGCCCGGACCCGCCAAACAACAATGA